TTTTTGGTCATGGTAACAATTTCAACTTGGTTTGCCATTGAATAATTGACGATGTAATTTCTGTTAAAGAGATCCCTGATAAATGAAGATACTAGATAAGGTGAATCGAAGCTAGCTCAGTGAAACAGGATTCAAAGAAAGGCATTGGATTCCGTAAAGATATTCATCTAAAAATGCAGTTGCTCCAAAGAGGATTCAAACTGATTCAGCGTCTGTAACAACTTCATGGCTTTTCAGAACATGATCTTACAGCATAAATGGAACTCCTTCAAAACTAATAACATTATTTAATATCAGAGTGAAAAAAAAAGAAAAAAAGAAAAAGAAGAAAACTCTATGAAGACAGCCACACAAGTGGAGAACAAATTTTCAACATGAGAACATGACGTTCATATCAAGACTCGGTTCCTGTCTCTGTCAAAGCGCCCATGGCAGCAGCATTTTGTTCTTCTAAAAGCTTCATTTGGCGTTCTGCATGTTCCCTTTCACATTGGCTAATTCCCATGATTATATCTAGCATCGTACCAGTTGTGCCAAAGAACACGAGGGGTGCCAAAGATTTCCGCTTTATCCCCACCGGTATTGCGAGCAAAGCACCAGCAACGGAGAATACCCATGTGCCCAGTGCACTGCAGAAAATTCCACATTTAGTAAGTTTACGATGCATGACAATTCAACTAAAAAGACTCAAAAATAAAAGATGGACATCTATTATGTCAAAACCAAAATTCAATGTGATGATCATATATGCAAATATTTAGCAGAAACCAACTAATGAACAAAGCATGTTTTACTCAAACCAATTTTAACAGCTTATTCTACCAGAAATTATATAGAAATGAGTGACACTGCAGTTCTGATGATTTTCAATTAAACCATTTGAAACCATCGTTTAAAAGTTATGCTTGGTTCGACAATCCGGAGGTTTCCAACTACCCATTGTCAAATAAATGAAAGTGTACCACTTCTTGGATCATGTCATCTAATTCACAGGCTGCTGCTAGCAACCAGTATAATTTCAAATAACGAGATACAATAGATTTGGCTTAAAATAGGAGCAACGGAATTAAACTACAATAATGGGCTTCCACATGGTTGATGTGTCAAACCGATGGCCAAAGTGACATTCAACTAGATTTCTAACATCGAAACTAGTTCAAAGCTGATAAGGAAAACTACAGCTTACTAATACACAAGACAAGTAGCAAAGCATATATGACATAGACTAAACGATTCAATCGTCAATATTTTAGCTTAACCACTTCAGCAAAATCCTCTAAATTTTTATTCAAGTTCCAAATTGTTATTCACATTGCCATCAACCATTCACAACCTGAACTTAGTGCATTTAATTCAATGAAACGCGAATTTACACGAATATAACCAATTTATTAGAATCATTCACATATTATTTGCGAGAATTAAAAAATTTCAAATAAAGATTATCCTTGTTTCCATATTTTTTTTCCATTGTCACAACACAGATTCCTATTTTTCCAACTCAACGTCAACCTTTTCTCCCCATTAGTAACCAAATTGCAATTCCTCTCTAGATAATTATAGAACCAAAGGCTTTTGTCATGATTCAACCTAAAAGCATGCACACCCACCAATTTTTTTCTCACCCATAAAAAAATAAAAAAAAAAAAAATAAAAGCGTGTTATTTTATAGGAAAAGAAAAAAATAAAGAAAAAAATAAAGAAAAGAAGAGGTACTATGGGGATTTAGGGGAAAGTGGCAACCCCAACGGCTAAGCACTCACTTACTTGCAAGTTGCAACGGTCATGATTCAACGGTTCAATCTGAAAAATGTCACATGGGCTCCAAACCGGTTCCACATTCCAATCAAAGGTGTGGCCCAGTGGAGCTGATGCCTCTTTAGTGGCTCTCTTTTTTAGAGGCTTTACCCACATATTCACTCGAGTGTGTGTAATTGTAACTTTTCCCAATTATTTAGTTATTTGATAAGAACTCTAATACTTTGTCCTGTTTTGCTTGAGTAGTTAAAATAATTTTAAAATAAAAAAAATTATTATAAAAAAATTAATTATTCTTATTATTTTTCTGTACATCTTTTCATAAAAAGTTAAAAATTAACTAAAATAATTACTTCCCAAAACAATCAAAATATACCAAAAACAAAAAAGATACTTAGGCCTCGTTTGGGAACAGGCTAATTTAGTAACTTTTTGGCTATTTGGCTAAAAAGATAAGTAAAAAAAACTTGTATGTTTGAGATGACTTTTTGGCTAATTACAAAAAGATGTGCAAAAAGTAGAGAGAAAAGAGAATCTTTGACTTTTTGGTATGAGTTGTTGGCTTTTTGACTAATTTAGTAACTTTTTGACTAATTGGCTAAAAAAGTAAGTCCCCAAACGAGGCCTTAAGGTCAAGGGTCCAATTTTGAAATTTTTAGAATAATAGTTCCAAACTCTATTTTTTTAGGTGAAAAGTGTAACTAATCCTTTAAATGCTTATATTATCCTTACGTATCAATCTATTTGTCCATTTATCTCAAATCTATCTATGTGTTTACTTATTTATTCACGTGTTACTTATCTATTCATCTATATGTCTACATGCTACTAATTTATTCATTGCCTCTACTGGCCAGCCGTTACTGGTGACTTTTTTGGCAATCAACTGTGATCTACCATAGTGTTTAAAATAGAAAGAAACTATAAATAAAAAAAAAGTATAAAGGTAAAACTGTCATAAATATTTTTTTTACCCAATAATTACAAAAAAAAACTTATCATTTTAGTCTCAAAAGATCCACTCTGATCCTTAATACCCATATGCTTGACTTATCACCGAATTTTCTTTAAAAAAAAAAAAAAACATTATTCAAGATAAAAATACTGTAAATTGTGGCATTTAATGCTTTATTGGAGGAAAGAAAAAGCATTTGTCTAGTTTCTATAAACTCACCAATTATAATCAGGAGTTTTCTTAAGTGTGCAAGTGCACACCATGTGCCACTTACACAAAAAGTGTAAGTGTAAGGTGTAAGTATAAGTATAAGGTGTAAGTGTAAGATGTAAGTGTAAGGTGTAAGGTGTAAGTGGGTTGCACATGGTGTGCAACCTCAAAAAAGGTGTAAGTGTAAGGTTTAATTTTTTACAAAAGGTGTAAGTGTAAGGTGTAAGTGTAAGGTATAAGGTGTAAGGTGTAAGTTGCACACCATAACCAAACCCTTATAATCAACCCTTTACAAATGAGGCATGGAAAATATGATTTGATTGAGTAAAATACTTTACAAATAGGCATGGAAATTATGATTTGATTGAGTAAAATACTTTACAAATACACTGTAAAGAGTCCCAATCTAATAAATAAATAAAAATAAAAAGAAAAAGAAAAACTATATAAGAAGTTCTTTATGCTGTGTTTGGTTGGGGGATTTGATGAAAAAAATTAAATTTATATTTGAAGATGAATATGGAAAGAGAAAATTAGGTAAAATATGAATAAAATATACCTATATTTCACCTAGTTTCACACACCTTTTTCCTTTCACTTTCCAAATCCCTTCTCAAATCTCTCAACCAAACACAACATTAGAGTTTCCCTAAGGTCGCCAAATAAATATATTTTCAAAACTAAATACTATGTACACAAAATAAAAAATTATTATTTTTTCATAGCATGTTAGTATTGAGATTATAGTTGCCCTGGGATTGTGCAATAGTAAATGATGAGAGTTATTTTGGTGGAAGAAAGAAAATGTGTCTAGCCTTTTTGACCTTTTATAATAACTCCTCATAGATAACAAATATAGAATATGATTTGACTGGCAAAATTCTTAACAAATACACTATAAACAATCTTGATCTTAAAAAAAAAATTAAAAAAAATCTATATGGCCTGTTTTGAGAACTTGGCAAAAAATTAATTTTTGATTTTTAACTTATTTTGGGTCATATCATCTCTTTACTTTTTTATAAATTTTTTTAAAAAAAAGTTGAAAAAAAAAACTAAAAAATTAACTTTTAACCATTTTCCAAAATAAATCTCCTTCGGCATTTTTGCAAGGTCACCAAATTAATTTCAAGACTAAAATATTACGTACACAAAATAACAAGAAATTATTAATTTTTCCATAGCATGTATTGACTTAGAGTTGAGATTATTGTTGTTGTGCCATTTGTGCAATAGTAACTGGTGAAAATTATTTTACCGGAGAAAATAAAATATGTTTGTCTAGCTTCTATTAACTCGCTAATTATAATCAATCTGTTACGAATAGGGCATAGAGATTATGATTTTTTAAATAGAACACTTAGCAAATACATTATAAAAAGTCCCAGTAAAAAAAAAAAACTACATAAAATCCTTTGTGGTTGCCCTTAGATTAATGCTTACAAAATCCGTAGGCCAACACATGAATAAACAATAAGAGAAGAATGGGGACGCATTGTGGGACAAGGGAGTGTTTGAAAACACTAATAATTCGTGTTATGTCAACTTTATTTGAACTGACTAAATGAGGGATGATTGGAATTTAACGGACTGTTAGTTTTTGATATATAGACTCGCGACTATTTGGCAAGAAATGATATGTATTCCATGTTTATTTTGTCATGCGATTAGATGTTTGGAATGACTATTTTAATGAATCTCATGTTTAATTAAAAAATGATAATTTCTGAAAAGATCATTTTGTCTTTTTGAATTATTTACAATGGCAATGCTAAATTTAAAGTACATTTTATTTGTAAGACCACTATTAATTTTATTGAAATGCGACATTAGAAGTATATTTCAATTTATAATTTTGTTAATACAAAAAAAGAAAGAAATGAGAACATTATTATATATCACGAGATTAATTTATATAAATGCTTTAAAAAAAAATCAACATGTTTAAAAAAATATTTTAAAAAATAAATAAAAATATGTTATATATTCTTTTCCTTTTAAATATTGAAAGTATATTTCCTTTTATTATTTTGCTAATACCAAAAAAATAAAAGAAAATAATTATATGTAACGGAATTAATTTATGCATGTTTAAAAAAAACTCAACATGTTTAAAAAAAATAAAAGAAAGAAATGTTATATATTTAAGAGATCAATTTCATCATTTAATTAGTTAATTCAAAGACTGGCTTAATCAGTCAATTTTCATCGCACACCCCATAGAATAGAGTTATCCCATATATAAGAACTATTAATCTGACCAGACTATTAATCTGATTTTCATTTTTCTATCCAAACAATAAATTAATTATACCATTAGACATCAAGTCCATTCACGGGCCAAATCACACCATCTTATGTACTATAGGGAAATCATATTCCATTGAAGAAGGCCCCATTTATTCCATAATTGCCGGAACTTTCCAGGAGTGAGTCTCCCAAAATCATTGCTTGGTGAGTCTGTTAGACAAACTTGTAACAGTCTAATATTTAATAATTTCTTTACATTTATCAAAAGTCTAAGAGCATCTCCAACGGTAGTAGGCATTTTACCTATCTGAATATTACTATAAAGTATATATTTTATTTTGCCTATCAACTGTTTTATGTTTTTACTCCAACCATGCTCTTTATTTTAGCTATTTATCCAAATACTATTAATTTTATAGAATGCCACGTCAACAACAAAGATGGAGGGAAATGATCCTAATGAATGAATACATTTTGCCTAGCGTTGAAGGCTAGCTACATGTAGCTAGTGAATATGAGTTGAGTTATGTATTTATTAATTTTTTATAATTTTTTTTCATAATTTTTTTACTTTTTAGATACATCTAAGTAAGGTGCATATAAAAAAGTAAAAAAAAATGTTTAAAATTTTAAAAATATTCACTAAAAACAAAAAAAAAAAAATTCAGTTTTCAAAAAATTTAATCCAAAAAAATCAAACCAAATACACTGAATATTTTTTGTATTAGAATTTTTTTTAATGATGTGTTTGGATCATAAAATATATTTAGATATTTAGTAAGGGAAAAGAAAATGAGAAATTTCATTCATATTGCCTCACATTTTCCTTTTTATTTTTAAATCTTTACCCAAATTGATAATTTAAATACAATCTTAAAAGTCATCAAAATGGATTTGATCTCCTAAAATTTGAAGACCATGGAACCTCAATTTTAAAACTCTTTCACATGAATTTAACATGAATTTACCTTATTATGTAGCTACGCAGTAAAATAAATTGATAAAATATCATTTGAAGACAAATATTATTATTTTCCACTCAAAATTTACAAACAGTTATATTCCAAAACAATTTAGACTGCCCAAAAAAATTCAGGACAGTTGAAAAAAAAAAGAAAAGAAAAGAAAAGAAAAGCATACTCAAATGCATATATAAAAAAAAAGAAAAAAAAGAAAAAAGGAGGCACCACTGAAAAAAATTTATATTCCAAAAATAAAATTAAAAAAGAAAAGAAAAGAAAAGAAAAAGGCCATGTCATGCCATTGCGGAGGGAACGGTTCTTTGGACCCGGTCCAAGCCAAGCCATTCTCCTCCATATGGCAACATTAACAACTGACTCGGTCTCAAAACTCGTTCTCCACCCCGAGTCGACTCACTCCCCTCCTCTCTCCTCGGTCCCCCCAACCTCACCAGCCACCTCTCCCTTTCTCTCTCCTCCTCCACCACCCTATCAGCCTTCACCTTCGTCTCTCCCACCAAATCCCAAAACGCATCGTTTCGTTTCCTATTCACAAACACCACTACCAATCTCTCTCTACACTCCTCCAATCTCTTCAAACACCGAGTCAACTCGACCAACTCACCAGAACTCAACCCACCAATCCTCTCCCCGCACTCACCGAGTCTAATCACAATCTGTTGCTGAGTCGACCTGTAATCTTCGCCGACCAAATTGACGACCTCGTACACCAAATCGTACTGTTGAAAATGCAACGAATCTGGAGCTCTACATATTTCCTCAACCAAACCCACCAAAACATCAACATCTCTGATCAAATCCGAGTTCAGCAACGTTGTTGTTACAGTGACTTTCGTCGAAGAAGGATCAGATATATAAACACCCAAAACCCGAGAAGTGATTAAATTACGTTCCAAAACACCAGCGTACCATCGAACCCAGTTCGACAACTCCCAGGTTTCGACATCACGGCCGTCGCGGAAAACCGAGAGGTTGAGGAAATTGCGGCCGCCGGAGGAGGGGTAGAAGGAGAGCTGGTCTTTAAGGATGAAGGAGCCTTGGGAGATGATGTGGTGGAGAGTGATGAGACATTTGAGGGCGACGAAGGTGTCGGGGGTGGAGTGGAGGCGGTCCATGACGGCGGCGACGGTGGCGCAGGCGGTGGGGCGAGTGTCGTTGCCGAGGGAGAGCAAGGCGGCGATGCGGTGGTCGGGAGGAGGAGAAGAGGGGGAGTGGGTGGTGGCGCGGAGGACTGCGACGGTGATGGGTTTGATTGAGAGAGTTGCTTTGATTAGTGATGCTTTGTCTTTGAGGATGCCGAGGAGGTCTCTCATTAGTTTGTTTTGTCGACCCATTTGGTGAGGTGAGATCGAATGATGGGGTTCAGGGAATGAATGAAAGATTTAGCGGAGATCAAGTATGGCCATGGAATTGAAGACCGTTGATGATGGAGTTTTATAGTTTGGAACATAAAAAGGCGTGCTTGTTTTTAAGGTGGACCACAGATCGTACACGGAACCTGTTTGACAAAATTTTACATGGACTTCGAGAAAAAGCCAGGAAAGTGCTAACGGCCGTTGTTAATGTCAGCCAAATTATTCTGCACATTTCCTTTTCGAGTAAACTTCTCATTATTTTATGATCGTATTGGAAGATATCATTACATTATATAAGGATGATGAGAATTTATTAATATTTTAAATTTAGAAATAATTATTGTAAATTTTTGAATAATAGAATGGACATCTTTTATTATAATTTTAGAATGGAAATGATCCCAATTCACTACATATCTATACATTTGCTTTACAAATTTACTCATAATGAATTGGTATAGGAATTGGACTTACAATCCTTGAGAGTTTATCAAATTAAAAAGGGACACCTATGCTGACATATCATTTGAATGGAATAGAATTGTGGGAGTTTTTTGAGATCTCAAATATTTTTCTTCTTATATTTGAAAAAAAATATACTAAAGAGTTTTTTTTGTGAGTTACATTAGAATGTTACATACACTAAGGAATTTTTTTAGTATATTATATTGGAGTGTTACGTTTGAAAAGAATATTCTAAATTTTTTTTTTTAGAGTGTTATATTAGAGTGTGATAGTTTGAAATTACGTTTATCAAGTTTTTAAACTCCTTTTGAAATATTTGAAAAATCACATACCATTTTGTAATGTTTGAAGGATTTTATATTTCAAGTTATTTTTGTATTCATTTTAAAATGTTTGAAAAATCTCACATTTCAAATAAAAAAGATTCTCATATAAAAGTTCATCTCAAATTTGATTTTCATATATTATGTATCTTACCTTTCTAGTGCCAAAAAAAAAAAATAAATAAAAGAAAAAGAAAAAGAAGAAAGAATCATAATAAAAATAAGGGTATAACCGTAAACCCAAATTCTAAATAATATATTGAATCCACTTTTCTAAAATAAATGAGACTAATTGATCTATAAGAAAAATTCTTTGAACTAAACGAATTATCTTTCTTCAAGATGAGATTTATAGATAAATTTTTCTTTTAGAAAAACAAAAACACTTCTAAATAAAACTTATCAAACACATTATTAAAAATAATAAAAAAAGTAACAAAATTTTTTTTTAAAAAAACAAGTTTTTACTTATATACATATTTTACTGTTAGTTATAACCCATTATTATGCTAATTATGAGATTATTTAGTTAGGGAAACTTGTTAATATTGGGAAGGTAAGAAAAAGTGTATTGAATTTAATAATAAATGTCTCAAGATTGCTTATCTGCGTATCCATTTTTTTCACCTCAAAAGAAAAAAAATAAAAATAAAAGTATTGGGATTGATATATCTTTTGTCCTTTTCTTATACTATAGGGGTACTTGTTAACAAAATCATTTTAGTTATAATTAAAAGGTTTTTAGTTATACTTTATATGGTAATTGATTATGATTCAATTTTTTTTAAGTCATGACCCTAGAAAAGATTCAGTTATAACATTTATGATAATTAATCTCACAAATATCATAACTTTTATATAATACACACCTAATATAACCTGTATGTCAGGAATTATGTAAAAAAAATTATATTAAAAAACATAAAAGATATAGGAAAAAGATTGAGGCCTCCAATTTGAGGCCTCGAATGTGGCTCAAATTTTTATTTATTTTTTTATTTTTTTCTTTGAAACTGTGTTGGTTTGGTTGTTTTTATTATTTTTATTTATTTATTTGTTGGATTGTGTTAGTTTGGTTGTTTTTATTTATTTATTTGTTTGTTAGGCTGTTGTAATTTTTTTTTTTAAGGATGGCTATGTGTAGGGGTGAGTTTAGAGTTTAGGATTTTAGGTTTAGGTTTTTATTTCTTCCTAATCTTTCTGATTTGAAATAAAAATATAGTAAGAACTCGTACAAAACTACATAGAATTAACAAATTTTAGCCAGCAATCTAACTGATTAGTCAATTTTATCACCTAATCAATTTAACCCAACTCACTCATCTTATCAAACCACATAAACTAAATTGTTGTTGATGTTTTTTTTTTTCCCTATTTATTGGGCTATGTTGGTTTTTTTTAAAAATTTAATTTAATTTAATTTTATTTGTTGGGCTATGTTGGTTTAATTTTTTTGGGGAACTGACCCAAAGGTCCAAGCCCAATATATCATACCCCATTTAGGCCAAAAACAAATTTAATACTCCATTAAGTTCTCAAATTATCAATAAGACGAAAATACCCACAATATATCTTTCAATTTACACGCGCGCAACCATCACCCACGATCATCTCAGTCTGATCAGTACACTGTCACATCTCCGCCGCTCGAAATCGAATTCTCAGTCCTCCATCTCTCCTCCGTTCGACTCCATTCCCTCTGAAACCCTACCCTAACCACAAAACGAAACCGTTCATCTTCATCACCCACGATCATCTCAGTCTGATCAGTACACTGTTACATCTCCGTCGCTTGAAATCGCATTCTCAATCCTCCATCTCTCCTCCGTTCGACTCCATTCCCTTTAAAACCTTACCCTAACCACAAAACGAAACCGTTCATCTTCAAACACAACACCAAGCTATTCATATTCTTCAATCGGTGACTCTCAACAACACGAAGAACCATCACCACTCTAAAGAAATTTCATAGTTCCTGACTTCCGATTCACAGAAATGGGGAAAAAAAAGTAACATCTCTCTTCATCTACTCATTATTTTTCATTCAAATTTATACATTATTCTTTCATATTTCGTATATACACATTTTACATACTTCAAAATGTATAAATCCTCTTTTATATATAATCCCCTGTTTTAAAACATTCTAGTCCCTTGTTTTTCAACATTCTAATCCACTATTTTTACACATAAATCCCTATTTTTACACATTCAACACCTTATTCTTATTCTTGTTGTTCAATATTGGCTTTTCTTATTGTTATTGTTGAATACTTAATCTTCTCGTTGTTATTGTTGCTGTTTACAAAATACAATGGGTTGTTCTTATTGTTGATACTGTTTATAAAACTGCAACATCATACAGTTTCATTTCATCACTCTACAAGTAACATATCTAAATTTATTTAAACTGCAATGAAACTGCAAAATTACACAGTTTAATCACTACTCAAAACAAATAGGTAACTTATTATAAAGTACAAATCAAACTGTCAAATTATACAGTTTCGTAACTGTTACCAACAAATACATATAACTTCATATTAAACTGCATATAAAACTTCAAAATTATACAGTTTTGTCACTATATTACTCATACCCTGCTGTCGTTTTCATTTTTTCAAAAATAACTGTTAGAAGATATTGGAAGAAACAAACCCATATGCCCAAAAATCCAATCAGGGATTTAAGTATCTCCCCTTTTGAAAGTTCTTCTCCTGTATCCACTGAAATGCCACCAACATCTCCCCCTCCACAAAAAACACAACCACCACAACCAAAAACAACCAAACACCACAGACCCCACCAAAAAACCCACAAAACAACCACACTACCTACAAGAAAAAGTCGAAGAACTACACCGCAGACCCCACCCACACAACAAACACCAACCACACCTCCAACCACAACAAAAACAAACAAAAGAAAGCCAACAAAAAAACAAGAAGCTCCTCCAACCAAAAAAAGAAAGCTCCAAGAAAGCCAATCAACTCCCAAAACAAAAACCAAGGCATCAAAAGGGAAAAAAGCAGCAGTCCCTGCAAAGAGAGTCCAACAATTTAATTACCGTTTCAACATTGGAACAGTAATCAAATTGTTGAAGGGGGTCAAATTCACAAAAGCCCAACAGATAGAGTTGAAAAAAATCCCCTTTTGGCCCATTATAAATGATCTCTCCTCAACACAACTGAAGGCCTCTTGGTGCAGATGCTACAATTCCATTATAGCAGAAATGACAACACTCTACAACAAAAGAAAAAGAGCATTTATACTTGGCAAAAAGGAAATGAAACTCAGAAAACAGTGATGTCAAGCTCATTTTTGATATCGACTATGGAGAAGACAACATCACCACCAAATCCTATGCAAGACCAAAGGATTTTGAGCTTCCATTTTACAAACGAAGAAGCAAATCAGTAAAGAGATTGGATGGCAAGTTTTTGACCAAAATGTTTCAACAAACAAAAAAAGGAAAATCAACCAATGATCATCAAGATCTTGCAAGGGTCATCACCCTTTACTTGTGCTTAAAACTTCTCATGCCTACAACAGGCCATACACTCAGTTGGAGTTTCCTCAACTATGTTGACAATCTCAACAACATCAAGAAGTACAATTGGGTTGAGGCAATAAAAGACACACTGATGAATTCAATGGCAAATGCAAACAACAACCCAAGGCATGTCACTGGATGCGTCATGTTACTCTTGGTAAACACATGACTCAACTACTTTATACAAAAATATCAGACATCCACATATTTCTAACTATCTAACATATTTCAATTTTTTTTACAGTACTGGTACTGTGAGTACAGTAAACTCCTCCAACCATCCAACAAAGAAGGCTTCCCAAGGTTTATAAAATGGAACCTTGGCAAAATGTACTCCAAGTGGAAACACATCAGCCTTGCTCACTTTGAAAAGTTATTCAAACTCTTCTATACTATCATAGCACAAATCTATTCAACACTCCTTTCACAGTCATTATAGTAAAAATCATGTTATGAAACTGTCAAATTCTTCAGTTTCAAACAACATATATTCAACACTTGACTCATATTATTCACAGTAAAAATCATATTATGAAACTGTAAAAGTTTGCAGTTTCAAAGCACACTTATTTAACATCACTCATGTTATGAAACTGCAAAAGTTTACAATTTAAACGCACAAATCTATTTCACATCACTCATATTATGAAACTGTAAAATTTTTCAGTTTCAAGAAACATATTTCGACACTTAACCCACATTACTCACAGTACAACTCATCTTATGAAACTGACCAA